CCCTTGCAGACCCTGTGGTGTGCGGGCTTGCTGCGGGAGGGCAGGCTCCCAGGGCGCATTCCATCTCCTGGCCCCTGGGACAAACCCCCTCCCCCCATACACACCCTCCCCAGGCTTCACTTAGACCGGGCGGAGGTGGGAGGGCTCCCCACCAGGTTCGGCAGCCCTTCCTCTGAGTGTAGTACTCAGGCTCCTCTCAGGTCCGTTTCCCCAGAAACTTCTGTGAGGTTCTGAGACACGAGGGGCGGCAGCGCGTCAGTGGCTCTTCCTGGCTGCGTTCTGCGTTTCAGGCTAACAGCCAGGTACTGCCGCTGGGGACGAAGTGTGTCCCCTTGGTCTGAGACCTGTGTTTGCCAGAGGTGAACGTGTCCACAGGCAGGACCATCCCACAGGTTTGGGGTCCGCTCTGCCCTCGTGGGATGTTTTCGGGGCGTTGAACTGCAGAGGCAAGCAGGTCTGTGGCCTGCGCGGTGTCTGCCTCCCTGGAATGCTCCTGCCGTTCATTCTTCCAGGTACCAGAGCACACGACTGATCCCCCTTCCCAAGAGGGGACATTGCTGGGGTTGTGTGACACAGCCTTTGCCGGGTGACTGGCTGGCGGGGAGAAGGCCGCACCGGGTCTGTGCCGCCGCGTGTCTGCACAGCAGCGGGGTCCTGTTCTGCACTCACATCGAGCACTTCCTCGCTCACATTGGCAGAGATTTCTCTTTAAAAAAACAAACTCGCAGTTGAGACCAGCACACCCCCCGGGGAGTCCTCGTGGACCCAGCAGACTAGCTCTCTCCCTCCCGACTGTCTGCTCCAAACAATTAAATGCCATTTGGATTCCTGAACGGAGCCTGCCAAGGGCTTCGCTAAGGCAGCCGCCCCTCCCCCTTGCTTATGGGCGCCACCTCTGCGGGAGAAATGAAAGCAGATCTCAGGTGAGAACAAAGGCAGCCTAATCCGGGCTCCGCTCTTCTCCCTGCAGAGGTGCTTTGTGCAGAAGCCAGGAGCAGACGCTACTAAACTGTCCTGTCCTCGGTGACCCCCGGGCATCCAGCCCCGAAGCGGTCTGGCCCCCACAGCAGCCCTCCGCTTCCTCCGCGCCTCCCAGCTGGGGCCCACCGGCAGGGGGAACACAGCCCCTTTCTCCCCGGGTGGAAGAGAAGTGTTTGTGAGGAACAAAAGGTCACAGTGTCCTGCCTTGGCCCACAGACTGTGGCCGATTCATTCGGTCAACAAATATTAATTGAGACCCCCAGCTCCCTGTCCACAGGCGCCGGGCAGAGCCTCGGAGGACAGAGGGACAAGGGCCCGGTGTCCTGGGCCTGGGAGGTGGCAGTGCAGACTGGAGAGGGGGCCTGTACCCCAGTGACTGGGTCTGATGGGCACGTGTGCCCGCCCAGGGGGTCAGGACAGAGGGCTGCATCTGTCAGATGCCTGAGAGCCCCTCCTGAGTGCGGTGACGACACGGGGGGCCCGGGCCCGAGCCCACACCCCTGGTCCCTAGGCTTTGTGGCCTTGGTCCCACATGTGACCACCCCACTGCGGGGGAGGGGGCAGTGAGGACCAGGGTTACAGCCCAGTAGGGCCCTGCGGGTGCCGGCACATTCCCGACGGCAGCAACGCCTCCCTCTGGGGCAGCACCGGATGCCCACGGCCCAGCGCACACCACGTCTCACCCCTGGAAAGACCAGACACGTGCCACACACACGGGTAAAGATGCCTGCGGCGACAGTGCCACGCGTGTGTGTAGAATTGATCTTTACAACACAGCCTAGAGGCGGTGCTCAGTCCGGGTCAGTGGTGAGCTTTGAAAAAGTTCATTTCCGCCCCAGCACCCACCCCCACCGAGTCCACTTTGGTTCGGTTCGCCTGGGGTGCGCGTAAGTGGGGCTGTTTTAAAGCTTTGGCTCCGGGGATTCTCATAAGCTGTCAGCATCTGCAGCTGGGACCTATTTTGGCGTTTGGTCACAAACGGTAGCTCTGGGAGTCAGAAGGAGGAGAGGGTGTCCTCTGCGGCGTGCCCAGGGTCACAGCCGTGCTGCCAGTGGCCGAAGCTTCTCGTGGCTCGTGCTGGATGCCTCTCCTCGTTTGCCCAGAACAAGGTCCACAGAGACACCGGGAGATGCTGGTTCAGTGACCAGACACCGGAGGGCTCGGGAAGGCCCTGGGGGAGGGGCCAGTGGAGACCTGCAACGGAGGGGTGGGGCAGACAGGTGCAGCCAATGGGGGTGGACAGTGGCTGAAGCTTTAGTGTGTTAAGAATTTCTGACTTCACTTTTATTTGGGGGAGATGTTTTTGCTGGGTACATAATTCCAGATTGGCAGAATTTCTCTTAGTACTTCGTATCCATCTGCTGGCTTCTCACTGCTTTTTTCTTTTTAACCAAGCAACCTGCTATTTCGAGAAAGGTTTGTTCATGGATGTGATGTGTCTTTTTTTTCTCACGCTGCATAATGTTATGATTTTTTTCTTTGTCACTGGGTTTGAGCATTTTGATTATTATGTGCCTTGGTGTAGTTTTTGTTACATTTCTTGTACTTGGATTGGTTGAGTTTCTTGGATCTGTGGGATGATAGTTTGGAAAAGTTTCAGCCATTTTTTCTTAAGATGCTCCCACCCCCCACTTTTTCCAAAACTCGAATGACACATGTGTTAGGCTTCTTAAAGTTATCCCACTGACACCGTCTGTCTGTTCATCTCCATATTCCTTTACTGAGGTTGCCTCTTCTTTCTGTACCTTATTTTAGGAAGTTTGTGCTGTGATGTCTTAAAGGTTGCTAGTGTGTCCTCTGCAGTGTCCAGTCTGCCAGCAGTGCCACCCAGGGTGCCTTCACCCCCGATGTTTGCACATTTTCCATAGATGTTCGATTCAGATGTTTTTATGCCATCAAGGTCCCTATTTACCTTTTGAACGCACGGAATGCAGTTATAATAGCCCCTTTAATATCTTCTCTGCTAATTCTGGCAGCTTGGAGGTCATTGTCAACCCGTTGAGCCCCATCATGGGCTGTGTTTGCCCGCTGTTTCACGTGCCTGACAATTCTTTACTGGACACCAGGCACTGTGAGTTTTACCTTATTGCGCGTACTGCGTATTTTAAAAATTCCTACAGGTATTCTTGCTTTGTTCTAGAATGCAGCTGAGTCACTTGGAGGTGGTCTGACCCTTTGTCTGCTGATTTTAGGCTGGACAGGAGCGGTCCCCGGCCTGGACTTCGAGGTCCCCCACAGTTGGGGCAGGGTCCCTCCGTCTAGGCAGTACTCACTGCTCTAGCCCTCAGGTCCGGCTGCGGGGGACACTACTCCCCAACTCTGCAGGGCGCTGAGCTCGGTGCGTGTGCGCGCAGAAGCACATGCGTGTGCTTGTCAGTAGTGGGCAGAGTGCTTCAGAGGGACTTCTCGGAGATCTTGTGTCCTCAGTTCAGCGCACCATTGCCTGGAGCTCTGTCATCTGGTGAGTTCTCACTGTCCGGCTCGGCAGAACTCTTAGCTCCTCCTCGACCCAGGGGGGTGCTGGTTCCTGCTTCCCTCCCTGTGTCCTGGAGATGCTCTTGCCACAGGAATCTGGGGCAGTCGTCACGCTCACCTCATTTTTTCTGCCTCCGAGGAACTGGATAGATTCGTTTGCCTGATCGTGAACATCCTATAAATAGCACCATTCATGCTGCTCTCATGTCTGGCTTCTGTCACTCAGCGTAATACTGCTTTCAATGTTCGCCTGTGACATTGCGTGTATCAGTGTTTGTGCATGTTTGCACATATGTGTTGGAGCAGTGTCCATACCATGGACGTACCATGCATGCACATACCATGGGTGGTTTGCCCAAGCTTCTCCGCTCAGACGTGTGGGTTATTTTCTGCGAGGAGCACTTCCGCGTCAGGTGGCTGTGGCCATTCTTGCACAAGTCTTTTGGGGACATTTGCATGTATTTTTTTCTCTGGTGTCTGGAGGAGTGGAATTGTTGAGTCATGGGTTGGGGTAGATTTAAAACTATTTGTAAGAAATTGTTGAACAGTTTTCCAAAGTAGTTGTACTATTTGTTCACATTCTTTTTTATATTTATATTTATATTTATATATTTTTAAAATAACCAAAAAAATTCTCTTTACCTTCCCTCCCCTGCCCCCCCAGCTGCCATCCTGCTCTCCATCTACGAGTCTATCCCCATTCTCCTTGTGGGTTCAGTTTGTCCATTAGATTCTTGCTAACAGTTCCCCTTCTGAGGAAATTTCAGTTATTCTGGTGGTGAGTGATGGCCTCAGAGAACTCATGTGGATGCCAATCACTGATGGAGCACACTGTCCCGTATCAGGAAATGGGTACCGTGGTTGGCATTCGGAGCCCAAAGCAAATCGAATTTGTCCAAGATCATCACACAGCTGTGAGCCTTGAGTCCACAAACACGATTTCAGTGGGTGATGAGAGACTCATTTTCTCCGAGTGACAGTGCATGTGACGATTTGGTGTTACCCGGGGCGGGAGGAGGAAGCTCGTATCTGACCGTGCTGGCCTCAGGATTGCCTCCCCTTTTCCAAAGTGCCCGTCTGCTCCGAGCAGCTGGGGGTGGGGAGGTCGGTGGCTTAGCTGCTTCTGCACAGAACTGTGCTGTTTGTTCATTATTTTTTCCAGGAGAAAAAGTGTTAAGACTCTGGGAGCCCACAGGGGTTACTTTGTCATGGGAGTGGGTGGTTGTAAGCCTCTAGTCTGGAAGGTAAAACATGATCCCATGAGCGATGTTGATTCGGGTGCAGCTCCTGACACGTTTACATGGAATCTGCAAGCTGGGCGAGTGTGCACTTTCGCCTGGGATTCCAGCGTCGGGGACTGCTGGCAGGGCATTGAGGCCCCTTGGGGCCCTCGAGTTGGCGACTCCTTGTTCCCTCTTTGCCTGGGGCAGCTCTAGTTCCAGGCCTTCACAGTTCTGCTAGATTTATTGTCCCCTGACAGGGAGCAGGAAAAGCAAACGAGCAGGGCCTTGAGGAGCTGACCATTTCTTCCTTTGCTTTTTCAGCCAGAAGAATCAGCAGTGAGTCTGCACAGTTTTAAAAGCAAGGTCTTCAAAAAAGCCAAAGTCTGTGGGGTCTGCAAACAAATCATCGACAGCCAAGGGGTTTCCTGCCGAGGTGAGTCTGCGTTTTATTCTCTTGCTGATTCAGCCAAAGCAGGGCAAGCAACAAACACAAAACAAAAATGAAAACCTTTTGGGGTTTTCCGAAAGTTAAAGCCTGGAATTCCCCTTCTTAGCCTGCTCGCCCCCCACCCTCCGTGGGCCAGGACTGTGTTTGCACAGACAGGGGCTCAGGAGGGAATCACCCCAAAAGCGTGGAGCAACCCGCGGGGGCAGGGTGGGGCGGCGGGGCTTGTCCTCTGGTCGAGCTGTGGTCTCAGGAGCTTCCATGACTCATTTTCACCTTCCAGTCTCTTACCAAAGTTTACAGATGAAATGTTTCTACCCTTCAGTGTCGGGGTTCAGTGAGTTATAGCCCCTTCAGCCTTTGCCAGCCTCTTTCCTGTCACTGAACAGCCACCAGCTTTGCTAGACACCAGGTGTCCATGGGACTTACCGGTTTTTTATGCACATTGACGTGTCTGAGACGGACAGCTGAGAATGATGTCGTGTTCCCCCAAACCCCGGAATCGGGGCTGTGGGGCAAGGGTCTGTGTCACAGAGCACAGGAGTGTTGGGGATGGGGCCCTTGAGGACTCTTGGAGCTGTTTTGTGGCATCTGGTTGATGGGTTTGGAATTTCCCACCTAGGACATTTGCGGGGTCTGGCCAGTGGACTTTCATTGTGTTGGGACGGCCTCCCAAAGCCAGGTGAACCCCTGGCGGACGTGCCAGTGGCTGCTTTGGGGTCAGGTGGCTGTCGAGTGTGGTTCATTGACTGGCGCTGTCAGACTTCTGCGGGGTGAGAATGCCACCCTGGGGCCCCTCAGGGCCTCTGTCCGAGGTGAAGGGCCACTTCCCTCCCCCAGCTGCTGCCTCCTGGGGACCTGCGAGAAGTCCCCTTCCTACTTGAACTCCCAGGTGTCTCTCTGTTGGAATTGATGCTCCTTGGGGCCTTCACCTGCTTCTTGGAGGATGTGGGACTCTCCTACTTTTTCCTGGGGGCTTTCCCTCCCCAGGAATTGTCACCCTGTGCCCAGAGAGGTCACCTGTGGGCCTCTCAAACCAGCCAGGTCCCGGCCTCTGCCAGCAAGTGCTCTCAGCAGAAATCAGCCATGAGCTTCAGAGAAGCCTCTGCCCGGCCACAACGATGGACCTGGGTCCTGGCAGGGACAGCACGCCCCTGTCCTCCTGGCTGCAGGGTTCACAGCAGAATGCAGCCTTCCTTGGGGACATAGGAGCTGGGGGGGTGAATGCAGAAGGTTGTGTACCTGCTAGTGTGCACTTGTGCAGGGGCAAGTGTGAGGCAAGAGCCTCTGCTGGACATGCACACCACCCTGGGGCTGGCAGCTGGCACACGGAGGCCACTTGTGGAGAGCCAAGCCAGCACTCTCAGACCCGGCCAGCACTCGGAGGGGGGCCTGGTGCATCCGCAGCAGAACCAGGATGAGCCAGCTCCCAGTCTCTCTCTGCTTCCCGTGCTGCCTCTGGCCGTGCAACCGTCACAGCCAGACGTAGGGCGTCATGCAAGGCGGGCATTGCGATGCCACCCCGTGGCCTGGCTCCCCCTGCAGGAGGTGGGAATGTGCCCCTGTGGGAGCTCTCCGTCTGGGGGACATCCCACCCCTGGGGCCGTCACAGGCTACCACCCGCCGAGGGACGTAGATGGAGGCCGAGGTGGACCGGCAGGCAACTCAGCGCCCCCTCCAACCCCAGGACGTGGTGGTCTTTAAGGCTCACAGGCCATGAGGGGAACCAGGCAGCGACTGTGCCATCAGACAGTCTGCCTCTGCCAAGGGCGCCAGGTCCCCTCATGTCGGTATAGCCAGGTCCTGAGGACACAGGCGGGGTGAGGCAGACTTGTGAGTGTCGTGGGTGGAGCAGCGATGACGCCCAGGGCCCGTGTCTTGCTTGGTAAATATGTGCAGAGCTTTGAATAAAGCTCCGACCGGCCCGTGTGGATGGGGCCTGGATTCCCGAGGCTCCGGAGACGTGCGGAGAATAGTAGTTCCAGGGCAACGTGGAAAAATGTCAGCCGAGGGAGCCTGGGGTGGGGGGCGGGGAAGCAAGTCCTGAGAGGAGGAGCCAGGGCCTTCCCCACAGCTCCACCCTCTCCCTCCCCTGACACCGCTGAGCTCTTCATTAGGAAAAAAATGTAAATATTCTTATTGAGGATATTTTTTCTTCTTTTTTTTGGTGGGGGAGAGAAACATCAATCAGTTGTCTTCTCCCACACGTCCCAACTGGGGATTGGACCTGCAGTCAGGGCACATGCCCCGACTGGGAGTTGAACCCACAACCTTTCAGTCCACAGACCGATACTCAAACCTGAGCCCCACTGGCCAGGGCTCAGCTCTCCATTTTTGCAAGAAGGTGGGTGAAAGTTGCCTCTCCCTTTATCCCAGTTTTCACCCCTCCTGTCATTACGGAGGTCGAGCATCCAGAAAGATACAGAAAATACGTCTCAAGTGTTTATTCAGCGAACTAGCCTTTCAGATCCTTGCTCACTTAAAATATCAGTTTTCCTTTTTGATTTCGAAGAACTCATTTTATTAGAAATGTTAAGTTTTCGATCTGCTACCTTAGGCAGAACCGGTGCCAGTTTTGGGGGGCATCCGACCTACAGAAACCTCAGCTCCTCCTCGAGGCACTTTGCTCACCACAAACACGCCGGCAGGTGCTGGTCTGTCTGCGCTGGGGAAGTGCGTGCTGCCGTGGAAGTTCAGGGCGAGGCTTGCTCGGACCTGCTGACCGTCGCACTGAGTTTCCGTGTCGTTTCTCTCTCAGGGGAGCCTTCCCCTCTGCAGACTGAACTGTTCTGATGCTCATTCCTGTGTTTCCCATTCTGGGCCAGTTTCAGCCCTGATTCCTTGGGAATTCTTGTTATTTCTGTGATTCTTCCTGGGTGCGCCGGTTTTCTGCCTTCCTGTGCGGCCCATCCTCTCGTAGGTGCATTGTGACGTGTCCCCAGTGCCTAGGGCTCTCGTGTGGCCAGCCTCTCGCACGTGTCTGCTTTCACAGAGTCTGTTCTGTATCATGCAGGCTTTTGTATCTTTTTCCCCTTACCTGTTATAATCTCCACCACACATTAGCTTTTGGATCAGGTGATTTTTCCGAGCTGCCCAATATTTTCTTTGTAGCTACATAACTTTTCTACAGCTTGGGTAACTTCCAGTTTTCACAGCAGACGGGAATCGGTGATGCCGCTTGTTCGAGTAGCCATCCCATGAGTGAGGAAGGGAGCGGCACTTCGCGTGTACTTTTGGCATTTCTGTGATGTGTGACCTGGCAGCAGGGCTGCCTCCTGCAGTTGGCCTCTGCGTTCAGTCTGCTCCAGTATTGTGTGAGCAGGCCCTATGGAGAGACGGGGCAGCTGGGGCACCTGCAGGGAGAGAAATTCGGTATTCGGACTCGTGCAGGTGGTTATGGGGGCTGAGATGCCCCACTATCTGCAGGCAGCAAGCTGGAGACCAGAGAGGCCCCAAGTAGTTCCAGCCCAAGTCCCAACACAGGAGCAGACCTGTGTTCCAGCCTGGACACGGGCAGGCAGGGAAGAGAGCCCTCGCTTCCCGCACCCTGTGCGACATCCAGGCCCAGACTGGGTCGGGCAAAGCCTGCTGCCATCCGGGAGGGCAGGAGACAACCTGCTCCCTCTGTCCCACCTGTAAATGTTGCTCTGCGTGTGGTGGCGGAGGTGACTTGGTTGTGGTATTTCACAACGTACCTTTGCATCAAACCACCATGCCACACACCTTAAGTGCATAGTGTTGCTTGTCGATCCTGTGTCAGCTGGAAGGAGCACCGACCAGTGAGAGCTGGTGCCGGCTCTGGGGAGAGTGGAGGCAGAGTCACCGAGGACATCTTGTCCTTCTGGGCCTGTGTGGTTTGGGGACTCGGTTTTGTGGGGAGTGATGGTGCATTTTGACCTCCCCTCTCCCTGGGGGCCGTGCTGTGCAGAATGACGGTCGGGGCGGTGGCCCCTTCCTGTGCCCGGAGAGGCAGGGTCGGCCACTTACATCTGCATCACCACCCTGATCTTGCCTAGACTGTCTCATCACATTTGCCTCAGAAGGTACAGAGTCTGGCACCCCACAGACCTCAGAGGCACCGAAAGTTCAGAAAGGAGGTCCCTGAAGAGAACACCCTCCCTGAGGTGTGGGCATGGAGGGCCGCTGGCCCCTTACACAGAAACCTGTGCGAGGCCAGAATTTCCGCTCCCATCACCTGGGGAGGGGTGGGGAGGGCAGGGCGGTGAAAGGCTTGGGCCCCAGCAGCTGACCAGATTTGGGGCGTGCATTCTGACCTGTGAGGCCCTGTCCCCCTGACCCCCGCACACTTCCCATCATTTCAAAGCAGATGTCTTGGGTGGTTCCCCTGTGGCATTGCAATAACCCTGGGGCCAGAACAGACCCAGATTGGTCGCTGGCCCCACCCAGGGCAGCCCAGCTGTAGACGGCCGGGAACCCCCTGCTCACATGCCTCCACGCCCGGGCTCCTATCCTTCCCTGGGGCTCACCTGGGGAGTGGAGGGGGGCCTGTGTGGGCCCATGTGGAGCCTGCGCCTCCTCCCCCCATGTGTCCTGCCATCTCTGCCTGGAAACACTGGGGGCTGCAGCCGGGCCTGCTCTGTGTGTCCCCCTCACGGGGGTGGGGATGTCAGTGTCAGCACAGCTGCAGCCTCTGGGGGGCTGGGCCTGTGAAATCACATCAGTTCCGCCCAGAAATCTGCATTGTCAGGCCTCTAGACTGACCCCTGCCGCTCTGGGCTCGCCCGGCGGGCCTGGGAAGGACCCCGTAGGAACTTAGCCAGGGATCCAGGCCGACAGTTGGTCCTTAGCTGTCCCCTGGAAGCCGCAGGAGGGTGTGACTTCTGGACCGAGGGGTGATCGGACTTCAGGCCTCATTCTTTGGGGCGTTTTCAAGCCTCCCTTCTTCCTTCTGGGAGAAGCTGTGAGTTCCAGGCAAACATCCGTGCATCTTGCTGCTCGGGGTTCCTGCCTCTGTGCTTCAGGGCTCTGGTCTGGCCACCTGCACCCCCAGGACTGTCCCCACCCGCCCACCCAGTCACTGCCGCCCCCACAGTGGCGGTGGGCCCTTGCATGCTCATCCCTGCACGCCATGCGCTCCAGCGCTGCCTCGGTGGCAGCAGGAGCCTCCCCCTACCTGGGCTTCCCAAGTGTTGATGGGCATGGGAATCAGAGCAGGTCTTGCCGCCCCAGCCACCGAGCACACACACTCTCTCCCTTCTCTTCCAGCCTGCAAGCACTCCTGCCACAGGCGATGTGAAGCCAAGGTAAGCGGCTGCTCCGCCAGCCCTCCTCCCTTCGCTGCACACACCACCTGCCTGGGACGGGCCCCTCAGGACTGCGGCCCCTGGAGGGAACTCCAGAAAGGGCTGCTCGGGGCTCTCTGAGCGGGTGTGTGCATCTCATCTCCAGAGCGAGCTAGAGAGGTGGGGAGTTCGTGTTCTGAGTCGCAGAAGAAAATATTCGAGAGTCTGGTTTCTGGTGGGACCAGCCGCTTTGATCCTGGCCACATCATGGCCCGTTCTCTGTAACTCACCGTCCCTTTTGTGGTGATGCCAACAGTCTGCCTTTCAGGGCACAAGGGACAGGGTCCTAGGTCGACCCCTGGCCCCAAAGAGTTGGCTGGCTTCTTTCTGGGTAGTGGGTCATAGGTGGGTTGGGGCTCTCAGGCTGTCATGGAGGTTGGGGGCCTCGAATTGGGGTCATTGTCTTGCTTTTGTGCGTTCCCTGGAGGGTTAAATTGCTGGTGGGCGACCTGAAACCCCGGAGGCCTGGCGTGCTTGGGTAGGTTTAGGTTTGGGTCTGATTCATAGGGAAATGAGGCGTCCCGGGGATGACGTATGGGATGCTGCCCACACCCCCAGGTGCAGCCCCAGTCTTCCGCACAATCGCCATGTTCGCACATTGTCCAGACGCAATGTCCCACCACCTTTCTGGGGCCCCATCCGCTGTCCCTCAGGCTCCCCTGTGCTGGGGGCCCAGGGAGGTGGGGTCGGAGTGTTGCGAGTTTGCTGCTGCTGTGGGCCTCGTGGGCTTGCTGTTCTGGAGAATTCCCGCTGGTCCTCAGCTGAACAGGGGAACCTGTGCAGGAGGCAGCTCCGTGGCACCGTGAGCTGGCTTCATGGGGCACCCTGCACGTGAGGGCCTGAGGGCCTGATTTCCTCCACCACACACGTGCAGATACATGCAAGCACACACACACTCACACAGATATGTAACACAGATGTTTGATATACACACATGCACCCACAAATGGGTGCCTGCAGGAACATGTGCAGTTCACTCTTGTGCATGCGCACACACTCAAAGATGTGCACACATGCACGAATACACAATGTACACAGGTGCACACACAGATGGGTGCCAGCAGGCACAAACATGCTATTCACACTCACTCACAGACATGCCCAAATACAGTGCACACACGTATTTGTGTCACATGCTCACACACACAATGTTAGAACTACAAGCAAGTCTAGTGCTGTATTTTTTTCAGGAAAGATTAAATGACTTTTGTTTTAAACTTTTCACCACAGAGAACTGGGGACACATGCAGAGCAGAGCAAACAGTGCGAACCCCCGCCGTCCTGTCACCCAGCCGCCCACCCGCAGCCCCTCCTGTCCTCTTCCAAACCCCCGTCCCTGGCAACCTCTCCCGAGATGCCCTGGGGTCTGTGATTTCAGCTGTTTCAGGCACCAGTGTCTGTGGCGGGGTTTGGGGCATTTCTGCTGTCACTCGCGGTCTCACTTCTGGCCTCCCTGTGGGGAAGGCTGGCCCGCTCTGCAGGGGGTTCCTGCGCGCATGCGCGCGCGCACACGCACTCGGGGGGCGGGGCTGCCCTTTGGCCAGCCTGGTCCAGGTCGGCTATGCCCTCAAGGAAATCTTCTGGTGCTCTGCACTGGCACCTGAGTCCTGGGCGGAGCAGAGTTTCCCGTGAGCTGTGGGGCGTGGTGTAGATGCCCGGTGGGGAGGCTTTGGCTTTCAGAGAGGGCTTTCCCACTTTCTTGTTGCTATTTAGATGAGCCCGGGCTCTGAGGGTCTCAGCCTGTGACTCATCACCACAAGGAGTGGGGGCCGCAAGGGGGCTACCCCAGTGGGGCTGCCTTCCCGTGTCACTCCTGCATTTGCATGGGAGTGTACATGCGAGTGCCCATGTGAGTGTGCGTGTGTGCCCCACGTTTGTGTGTGCACCACAGCATGTGTCATGTGTGAGCGTGTGTGGTGTTGCATGTTTATAGGAGTGTGCTGCATTAGTGTGCAGGTGTGCATCCCAGTGCCCCTAGGCATGTGTCTATGTGGGTATGCATTTTGTGTCTGTATTGTGCACACATGGGTGTAATGTGTGTACAAGTTTGCATATGGGCGTGCGCTGTGTGTGGATGTGTAAGTGTGCATGGCACTGCGTGTTTGTGAGTGTGCACTGTATTAGTGTGCAGGTGTGCGTGCCAGTGCATGGGTGGGTTTATATTGTGTGCCTATGTGGATGTGGGTGTGTGTGACACTGCATGTGTGTGCCAGGTGTGTGTGGGTGTGTGTGTGGGCATGCACACCTGTGACGGCACTGCGGGCCCAGCCACCCTGACCCCAGGCTACAGGCCTGACTGCGCAGCTGTTGGCTCCGTTCCTCAACCGTGTCCCAGCCAGCCACTGAAGGGATTGAGTTCTTGGGTTCAAAGACTGTTTCGGAGGTCCGAGCTATCACTGATAATGGCGTTCCTGGCTGCAGAAGTTGGCAGTTTGCTGAGCGGCAGATAAGCTTTTACTCTCGCCAAATCGCAGTCGGGGAAATGTGTCTGCACTCATTTTTTTTCAGTGATGCAGCTTCGAATGGCCAGGGAGAGTGCCACCAGCCATAACAAAGACCTTTCTTATTCCAGAACCCTGACACCACCTCTGTGGGGATGGAGGGCCGTAAACCCTCAGTCGCCCCTGGAGACTGGTGGGGGTGCCGCTGAGACATGGCTCGGCCACATGGCTGGGCCCGTGGTCGGCACCTCTCTCAGTGCAGGTGCACCAGATTTCTCGGAGGCAGTGAAGTCTTAGCCTCACATCCAATGCCGTCCGGCCCCTGCCGCCCTGGGCTGGCGCTGCCTCGGGTCCCCTCTGTGGTGGTCCCCGGACCTGGCAAGAACATCAAAGGAAAAGGTGAACCAGCTAGCTCCTCAGAGCATGCTGGCATCTGGTGACATGCTGTCGCCACTGCCCTCTGGGCAGCAGCCACCGCCAGAGGCTCCCGACCAGGCCCAGGGGGACGCCCCTTTGTGGAGCTGCCATTGGGGAGAGAGCCATCCTGCAGAGAGCAGGCTGCTGGTGGGCTGGTGGCCCAGCAGGAGACCAATCTTTGTGCCGGATGCTAGGATGCTAGAGTGGGGACCGAGGCCACCATGCTATTGTTGGTCCCCAGGCAGCATGTCCCCCCAGGTAAGACTGTGCTGTCCGGAAACCTAGAGGCAGAGACCTGGGAGTCCCCGGCTAGGGCTGGTCTTCTGCTACAAGTGGGTGAGCAGCCACTTCCCACCATCCACCTGTAGGTGGCGTGCTCTTAGCTCCTCTTTGTTGGGATACTTGTTACTTAGGTTTGGGGAAGTCCAGTAATTCGACTGCAGTTGCTGGGAGCTCTGGGCTCCAGACTCCCTGCCCCTGTGGGCAGGACAACCTCAGCCGAAACCCATATGGTCTGGGGTGACGTGAGGTCCTGGCCCAGGGCTGGCCACAATCAGCTCCACTGTTGAGGGACTACCCAGCTTGGGCTCAAGGTCATGGCCCCCAGAGGCGGTACTTGTCTTACAGTCCCAGGTGACGGACTGCTGGGACTTGCAGGAGTCACACCAAACTGGGGGACAGAACCAGGGGAGCTGCTGCACTCCCACCAGCCCCTCCCAGCGCCAGCACCCGGCACGGCTGGTGTGCTTGTTCCGTGATGAGGCCAGTGTGCGGACATGGTCCACGACTGGGTCTGTCCCTGCTGTGGCGGCTGTTCCAGGATGTGGCAGAACTGGAGCCCATCAGTTAGCGGCCCTTGCAGACCAGCCTCTGCCCCTCAGTCCCGTGCACCTGAGCATCCTCAGGGTCTTGTCACAGCATGATGGCTAGTTTCTAAGCTGTGGACACACCCCACCATCTGAGGGCGGGAACAGTTTGCTCACGTCCTCGTGGATGTCTCTGTTGTTTTCTCGTCCCATTTTTTGTTTTTGTGAATTGTCACTGGAGTCAGAAGGGCCACGGACATTTTTAACTTTGGCTTTAATTGGGGGCCATTTTTCTCATGTTCCCACAGACCGCCTCCTCGGTAGGCGATCCGCACCAAGGTTTTCTGACTCTCTGCAGTGAGAAGTCACTTTACACACATCATTCCCTCATTAAAGTGGCGTTCGCCGTGGGGGCTGAGTTCCCACCAGCACCCACTGTTTCGAGTCCTAGCGCTGGGAGGACCGCCTCATGTGCACTTTCCTACCAGCAGGAGCCCTGGCCGGGGCTCTGGCTGCCTCCTACTGCCCCCCGAATGCCCCCCACACGCTTGCCCCACGACTTTCACACCAGGGCCACTTCTCAGTCTGACTTGGGGGCCCTTACCCGGACCTGCACCGCGCAGACCGGCACGGACACGGTGTGGACAAGTGGGGAAGCCCTGCAGCTGCAGGACCCACAGAAGAGAGGAACAGAGACCTGGGTCTGACCTCCAGCCCCACAGTGGTGACAGGCCCGTGGGTCTCAGCTTCTCCCTCTGCAGAGTAGCAGGGACTGCACCTTGTCCCTGGCGGGTTGTCTCTTCCTGATGCCATAGATGGTCTCACGGTTCCCATCGTCCACCCTCTGCAAGGCAGTGGGGGCCACCCTGGCAGTCCCAGGGTGTGGTCTTAGCTCCGGCCAGGTCATTCGTGTCCATGATGCTCACTGACGGGACCCCCACAGGCTTGGACCTGTTCCCACCAACCCTCAGACAACCCTCTGCCTCATGGCAGCCCGGGGGCCATGAAGGTAGGGACAGCGTCGTGCCGCCTGGGTCAGAGGGCGGGCACTGAGGCCCGGACGGCAAGTGTGGCACGCCCCCTCAGTGACTGCTGGCGTGTGTCTGGGTGTGTCTGTCCGAGGCCCGGGCAGGCGGCTACCTGCCTCTCTCTCTGAATTGCTTCCCATGCTCACAGACGGCACGTTTCCAGCACAGACCCGCTGGCCCCTGCGGCCTCCCTGGTAGCAGCAGGGCGGACACCGCTGGCCAAGCACTCAAGTCCTACCGCCAGATTCGGAGCGTGAAGTGAAGCCTCG